AATTTCCATAAGTTGGAAGCATGCGCCTTCGGCCGAAATTTGAATTCCGGTGGCCGTTGGCGAGAATGACAGCCGGTTTGCCCCAAGTTATACCCCCGGTGGTGGTTTAAAGGAAGCAGGATTTTCGCATGTGTGATCTGACCTGGACTCTGGAGCCATCTGGAGCTAGGCTCTCGTTCACGATCGGTCCATCGTCGTATGGTTCCCACGAACACATAAAATGCGATGTTACATAATATCTGGATAAAACTCTTAAAGCCGGGCGGTACTTGAGGTGGCCGAGAAAACTCTTTTTTGCAGAACTTCGGGTATCTGGCCTGAATCAGACGCCTGATCCAAGTCGGCAGGCCTTTTGACAGGGCCTTTTACTTATGTAACCTTCTCGAAACTTTCCGCCCGGTGATCCGGATCTTGAGATTTACTCAAATTATAAAGTTTCTTGGTTTCGGTTTCTTCTGCAGATTGGTATGAGGTACGGTACTTCTCAAGCCGAATTGCTCCTATGGTATGTACCTCGGTGTACCACGTGGATCAGAAATGCCATCCGATTGGCTAAGAAATCTGGAAAGCTTTTTGCAGCTTTTCGGTCGACGCGCACCCTATTGTAGCATACTGTGGCACCTTTTCTGAGGCATTTCCGTAGAATCTGTCAAGACCGGAAGAGCAGGACTTGTGATTGATCTTACAATGAAGAGAGTCACCTTAGGCACATTTACAATCTTTGAGAAGGAATATACAATGTGACGGGCCCTTACGAGAAGCAAAGGACAGGGGGTCTTAAGCATGGGTGCTCAGTTGCTGTTCTTTAGCGGTTGGCTGGTTGTAAGCTCCATCCTGTTAGGTGTGAAAGTGCAAGCACAAACGTCAAGCCCTTCGACAAACGCAGGTGAGCTGCCTCACCGCCCCTCATGAAGCGTCATCGACACTGTCTGTGGGCATAGCTTTTAAGAGAATGTATGCTTTTATGTTTCGTCAGCACCACCCTTCCTCACAGGGGGATCCCCCATTTTTTGCTGAAATGGGAGGTGATATGTAGGGGTGAAATGCAATTGTCCTTTCCATCCATCATTTTAAGCCTTCTGATTAATGTGGCGGCCTTCTTGGAGTGGCCATTGGGTGTCCTTCGTTTGCACAAGTCGCCGTTACAAGTTCTAAAGGCGATAGGAGACCAGGTCCTGAACCAACAAAGGTTATTCAGCGGTCAATATCCATCAACGTGTTTCTGCCTGCAGGCACTCTGTTGGCCGTTAAGGCAGCCTTTGTCGACAACACCCGGTTGGCCTCTTGGCAGCAGGGCTCTGATCCTTGCGGGTAATGCCCTTTCTCGACGTCTGGAAAACTTCGATGCATCTCTGATTTTTGGTTCACAAAGAAGGCCTTTAAAGTATGAGAAAGCATAATGCATCCTGTTGGCAAATGACATCGTCAAGCAAATATACTCCAAGTAACACGTGCTTTTTGAAAGCTCTTGCAAGATGCTTCATTGAAGGGTTTTTAATCCTTTTCGATGTAGCATAGCTCTTGAGAGTTATGGCGGTTTCAGAGATGATAGAATGCCGTCATTCATACAGCCTCGATGCTCAGGGAGGAACGTTTCTGCACCACTGCCGGCATCAGCTATTCACAATGTACATTGCACAGGGGACAAGTCTGGGTGGCAGGGCATATCTTCCGTACAGAAGGAAAAAGAGCCCCTGTTCTCTCTCTAGAGTCCGGAAGACAAGTATGTGACCACCACCACCATCACCACCATTGATTAGGCAAAAGCTAAGATGAAATTTGCAAAATGCACAATACACCGACGCGTCTCTATTGTGACTACTCAGGACTCCGGCATGGGAGGGAGTAGGGTGCACTGCTGGCGTCGTCACCAACCTCACTCTGACGCGCTCTTGCGATGGACGGACACCACCTGACGTGTGAGCTTTCCTCTTTTCCATGTTCTGAAAAGCACAAGTAGGGCCTCCTCAAATCCTGAGCCTGTGGTAATGCAGAAGAAACTTTTGACACTTTGTTACATTGCACTTACTTCTTCGTTACTCTCAAGCATCATGCAATGATCCAAGCTTTCCCCCATCTGTGCTCCCCGGTTCTGTTTGAGACGGGTGAGAAACATTTCTCTTGCTTTCTGTCTGCGGTGCACGTTCTGGTTGCACCTTGCAAACAGGGCGACCCAGAATCTGCGTCCGCTTCTTGTGTATCCGAGTAAACCCCCTGCAAGCCTCGAATTTTGAATCTAGCTCTTTCTAACGTGGTGGTGCAGGTGTTCTGCGAACCAGGCGTGGCCCCGTCTCGTTGGGCCCTTCCCCGCTGCAGTAACGAATTTGACTGGGCTCCAGAGTGAGGACATCACCTTATCCTCAGCATTTGCGTAGTTTTCAGCTGAGCTGAGAGGGAGGTTTCCTATGTTTGAAAGTTGCGACACTGATGTGCGGTTTTCGGTTCCTTGTGAAGACAGTGCATCCTGGATCGAGGTTAGTCGCATGATGCTTTCCCTGTGGGTTCATCACCTCGGTAGGCGAATCCGCAGCGCCGGTGTAAGGGCACTGAAGTGATACTTCGTCGCTTTGTGCAGTACTTGATCTGGGGAACAACAGCATCTCCGGCCCCTTGCCAGTTCAGCTTGGCCTGCTGCCCCTCAATACATTGTGAGCTGCGACCCTCATTTGTCCTGTTTCTTCAGATTGCTGTTAAGCTACTGTCCCCTTGGTCGGAGACTATGGTTTTTGTAGAGTGTGGAATATCTCAAGTGTGAAACCTCGCGGCTTTTTACTTGTTCCTAAGCAGATATAGACAATTCCGTATCCATGCTGACAAAGCGGGTTGTCCTCGTTTACCAAGTTCAGATCTCTTCTCAGGATTACGCATCAACATATCAGCAGCTGCACACAGTTTCTTGACTTTGCGGGGAGTAAGTAAAGCAGGTCACGTCCGACATGGTGCATCCCTCTGGTGGTGCTTGTGATTGTGTTCATTGGGCCTTTCTTTGACTCTGCAGAATTCTCAACTCCAACAACCTGAATGGCACCTTGCCGGCATCCCTGGGCGGTGCAGTCAACATGACCGTCTTGTAAGCGATTTCTACGTATTTGTGCAAGTGATATTACAGCCCATGCCGACTAAACGCGCTGACCCTTTTACATCGTGGAAATAGTATAAGATGGTCATTGTCTTGGACGGAAGCAAGCGGGCAGGACACCTTGACTGCTAATCAATGGGGACATCTCGTAGCGGGAGTCGATGTTGAAAAGAGAGCGAGCCTACCTTCTGATGGTGCGCATGTAGATTTTGAGATCCATTTGCCAAGAATTTCTTGCAGGGATTCGGCATGTTTGTGTCTGATGCACTGCTTAAATACATAAGGCACGCTTCGCAAATGATTACCACCCTGCGCACTGCCACTTTTGATGACCCTGTCTTTTGTTCTTCTGCAGTCTCCTCGATGGGAACAGCTTCAGTGGGCCCCTCCCTACCTCGTTCGCCAACCTGACTAGCCTCCAGCTTGTGGGCCTTGGCAAGAATCAGTTCTCTGGGCCCCTCCCGGCCTTCATCTTTCGAAGCTGGACGCAAATGAAATATCTGTAAGCAAGCAATACCCTCGCTTGATGTCACCTGTAGGATCAGGTGGATCGATCATCCTGTCAAGATGGGGCTGGAGTGAAGAAAGTTGCTGTCCATTTGCATAAGCTTTTGAACCCTCTGCTGTTGAGTCTGAAGGATAGAGAAGTGAAAGGCAAACGTTTGATGGCGGCTGAAGTTGAAGACGGTGACAAGTCCACAGCTAAGACATGTGTCGTTCTCGACGAGCGTCTTGTCTTGATTGCGACTTGAGATGTTCTATTTTCACGGTCTCCCAATGCGGACTCATTATCCGGATTTCTCGTTGCTTCAGGAATATCATTCAGAACGGTTTCAACGACACGCTGCCACCTGTGGGTTCCTTGGACCAGCTGTTTCTGCTGGCGCTGTCCGAAAACAAGTTTACGGGTGCAATCCCGGACGGACTCGGATCGCTCAACGGGCTAAACCGCCTGTGAGTATATCGGGATCTGTCCTGGCTTACAAATGCTTGACGCGAACGAACGACTGTGCTTACGACCAATTGACGTCTTCACATGGTTCTGCTTGTGTAATAGTGTAGCCCCAGTGTGTTTAGCGGTTATTAACAAGAGCACTGCCAACAACATTCTCTCTAGCATCTGCTCCTGAGAATTCTCTTGTGCAGAGCCGAAGGCAGTAAAGTCGATATCCTGCCTTTCTCAGCTTTCACAGGCAGTCTCCAGGAGTGTGAAGTATCTGAACGTCAAAAGCTGCTCGTTTCTATGGCAGGGAGCTTGCCAACAACAAGGGGCTCAACGGCTCCATCCCGTCCAGTTTCGGGGCCACGCCAAGCACGCTGCAATATCTGTAAGAAGCTGCAGAGCCCTCTCGTGCTGTTTAATATCCTAACGCGAAAGCTTCCTGCTGAATCTTTGGGCGCCCGCTCGCATGTCAAGACAGTATTTGTCTCGCTCAAATCCTTGAAGCAATCAGATCTTGGAGCTCGACATGTGCTGAATGCATCCAAGCTTTCCATGCCCCGTTCTGGCGTCTGGTTCCGCTTTCCTGATGATGGGCTGTTCTGGTGCAGGGACCTGTCTAACAACAGCCTCAGCGGAACCATCCCAGACAACCTGGGAAACATAGTGAGGTCTGGTCGCGCACTCGTACCATCGCAAACCCACACATTCTCAGTTGTCACGCTGTGAACACAATCGAAACACGCCCTATTCTCCTGTCCATAGATTTGAGTCCGTTGCTACACTTGTTCTGGACGTTCTTCGGAGTCCCTAGACGATACGTCACAAGTCCAACTGAAGTTGGATGTTGGGCCTCGTTTCGACGCACGCAAACTTGTCTTGTGCAGCCTCCAGCAGCTGCTGCTTGGGAACAACAAGCTGACGGGGTCCATCCCGGCCAGCTTTGCCAACTTCACGAGCAACCTGCAGACGTTGACTCTCAACTCCAACAACCTCACGGGCCCGACGTCCGTACTCTTTAACCTCTGTCAGGGGAAACAGTGCTACTATGGCGGTGAGCACGGCGGCTCCCTCATGTATTCCCCACTAACGTTGGTAAACCAAATGCTGGTCGTACCATTGCTTGAACGGCTTTGGTTGACGATCTTGCCACTCCTTTAAAAACATCCGCCTTTGCTTGTCCGAGGAGCGAAAGGCACCTCCAAGGTCCCCATACACTGAAACAAGCGTGTCTATATTTTGTGACTAGCGACTTGGTCACAAAACTGCTAGTCGCCAGCAGTTGACGTGATATGCGGCCAAGCTTTTGACTGGAACATGCCAGCAAACCATCCGCCGGGACGTCTTCTTACCCCTCACTCAGTAGAGGTGCTCCGGCTGAGATTTTCAGAAACTCGGCCATCCATGGGGAACGGAGGCAGCTGCTCATGAGTTCCTAGAAATGTACATTTCAGGGGTTTTACCGGGCAGTCATCGCGCCTCACGTCATCTTGAGCTAGTTTGCAAATCTCCTGCAGACAATCCTCTGTTGGGCGCCCCCGTGCCGGCCCCTGTTGCCCCCAGCCCTCCTGCTAGCCCCCCTCCCAGTAGCGTTGTTCCAGTCCCCGCCCCAGCCCCGGCGGCGGCTAATGCGCCATCAGAGAGCTCTTCTGCGCCCATCGCAGCCATTCTGGGGGCAGTTGGGGGGGGCGTTGCGGTCCTGGCGGTGTTTGGCATCCTCTTTGTCTGCTGCCGCAAGCGCATCTTCAAGGAGAAAGGTGCGCTTCTAAAGCGATGACGTTCGCTCCTTTATCGTCGAAAATACCTTGCAACTTTTTGGAGCGAGGGGCTTTGGTTCGTTGCTAATGAAACTTGACAAAACGGCAGGTTGTTGCTCGGGGGTGACGCGGTGGCGAAAGAGCGCGTGCATCTTTTATGAGACTAGAAGACTAGTCTAGTCCTCTAGTCTAGACCTGGCTATTCAGTCCAGCTTGATGCTTCACTATCTTCCCCAGCACAAGTCACGATCCCTTCGCAAGCTTGGTGGTGCGCAGCAAATGCTTGACCAAAGGACTGCGGGCCTTTTGTCATACCACAGCCTTTATGCAAATCTCTGCAAACTCCCCGAGTCGCCACTCTGAGGAATGTACGAACATCTTTGTTATGTCAACAAGAAAAAGGACGCAGTCCGTGACCGCATCCTGCTCCAACCGATTCTCCTCGGTTTGCCAGGCGCTACGAATCATTCAGCTGCGCCGGATCCGTTTGATAAGCTGCCGGTAGCTGAGCCCGTGCAGAGGTCGAAGGCCGGGGGGTTGGCGCACGGAGTGGAAGAGTTTAGGTACGCGCAATCGACTTTTTGGACTTCTCAGCTTTTTGCAAGTCGTTACATGGACCACCTGATTGGGTGTGCCTGCCTGCCTGCACAGATGTAAGGCAATAGAGTGGACGGCATTTGCTGCCTTGTCTTTTCAAGGTTTGGTTTTTCTGGAGATTGATGCCTTATCTTGTCAAGGTTTGCTTATCATCTGCAAGAACTTTCGGTAGTGGTGTCAGTACGGATAGACCGTCGGCCAGAGGGTAGATGTTGCGTACGTCCGGAGTGCACGTACGCCTTCGTTAAGGTTTTTGAATTATTGCCTCTGTGCGCTTGCAGCTTCACCGAGTTGACACACGCCACCAATGAATGGCATTCGGACAATGTCATTGGAGAAGGAGGGTACGGCAAAGTTTACAAAGGCGGCCTCCACACGAAAGACGGTCCTCAGGCGCGTCGCTGTCTCCACGTTCTCCGCTGTGCTAAAAGAGCTGCTCAACTTTCTTAAAGTCGGAGCTTCTAGCAGCCATTAAGTGTCTTCGATATGAAAGAGACGAGACTGCCAGCGTATGGGGACACCCGATCAACCGGATTGAGATTGATAATAGGGACTTCCAATGCACAGCGGTAAGCTGCTCCGCGTTTCGCCTGCTTCTCGGGGATGGGCTAGGGCGCGAAGCTTTCCTGCGCGCAGTCATTGCTTCGGTGGGCGCCGAGTGCTGACGTCATTTCCTGCCTGACTCTTTTCAGGTAGTGGCCATCAAGCGCGGCGGCCGCCAGTCGCAGCAAGGCGAGCGCGAGTTCCTGCAGGAGATCTCCGCCATGTCCAGAATCAGGCACAAGCACCTCGTGAGGAGTTACCAGACATCAGAGAGTGTTTTCAGCACTGGGACTGCTTTAAACGTCACCCGCTTGCTTGCTATTTGGCCGCTTTCCCAGGGTTTTTCGGAGGCAGCCTCTACGTTCGTAAGTCCGTGGAGCCAGTTTGATACTGAAGAGCGCATTGATCCACCATTCCCAGTTCGCTTCTGGACAATGTCAAGGTTTTGCGGTCCTCAGCATGGTGCTCTGCCGTTTTGCCTCTTTCCAGGAAAGCGTGGTTGGCTGATTCCAAAAAAAATGTTTAATCAATATTCAGGTGAAGCTGGTCGGCTTCTGCGACGCTGGGGCCGAGCAATGCTTGGTGTACGAGTACATGGTCAACGGGACGGTGCAAGACCACCTGTGGGGTGAGCACTTTTTGAGAGATGGCTCCCGTGTTGATGAATCTGTCTCGAGATGCTGCAATGGCGAGCCGAGCCACCTTCTTTGCAAAGGTGGATAATTGCTTTGACATTTCAAGGGTTTCCGAAGGTCACACCGGGCCTTCTATCCAAACAGGGTTTCCTGAGTCAAACTGATCTTGCTGTGGGTTGCAGGTCGTCTAGCCGCAGACGGCGTTCTGGACTGGCCAACGCGCATCCAGATAGCATTGGGCGCCGCCAAAGGTAAAATGCTCCTTCCTGTCCCAAACTCAGTTTCGGATGCCCGTGTAACGAATGCAGAGAGTGGGTATAGGACAGCGGAACACATTCAAAGGTAAGTATAGCAGAGGAGGCACAAGTGCCATGAAAGTGGTACGCTTTGCCAACTCCCATTCTGGGCCACTGCTTCCCTCAAGCTCCTCGAGAGGTTCTAACTCTCAGCCATCGCTGAAGCAGTGGTTTCTTTCCTGGCAGGATTGGAGTACCTGCACACCGCAGTGGAGCCGCCCATCATCCACCGGTGAGCCCTGATGGTCCGCCGACATCTGTCCAAAGCACGGCTGCCGCCTGAGACACCTGGCTGTTTCTCTTTTCTTTCACGGAGTCCGACACAAGTTTTCGACAGAAGCGGGTCTGCTGTGAACGGACACTGCACATAGATAACGTTCCAAGTTTACCGCCCCCGATGGAAGCAGACTCGTGAGCCGAAAACGGAGCTCATCAACCTGCCAGCAGAGCTGCTGCTGGACACGTCATTCGCTATGATGTGCTCATGCTACATCTTCTGCTCGGCCGCTATATTTCAACCGCAGCCACGCTTCTTTTCTGGAGGGGAGTCGTGCGCTCGTCTGGTAATCTGGAGCCTTCAAAGGCTGAAGCTTTTTCGTCTCGTGTGCGTGCAGAGATGTGAAGCTGACCAACATCTTGTTGGACGGGCAACTGAGCGCCAAGGTGGCCGACTTTGGCATCAGCAAACTAGAAGAAGCGCTGGAAGGGGCCACCTCGGTCAAGGGAACCCTTGGGTACCTCGATCCGTATTACGTTCAGTTTAACGAGCTGACAATCGCGTCAGGTACGCAACCGTCCAGGAAGCCCTGCCGTGCTGCATCCAGAGCCTGTTGTGAAGCAAACACTTGGAATTGTCGCACATTTTGCGGCATCTGGTGCCCGAGGTCGGGTTCAAGTGCCTCTTCTACTTTCGTTTCCGGTTGCTCGAATCAGCGCTGCTTCTCGTTCTGATCTGGGAGCTGACTTGGGCTTCGCTCGTTTCCGCAGACGTGTACAGCTTTGGGATGGTCCTGTTAGAGATCGTGTCAGCCCGCCCGGTGCTCGGGATCGGGAGCGACGGCAAGCCACGGAGCCTGCTGCAGTGGGTGAGGACTTCCGGCCTTGTCTGGACGGGAAGGCTAGACCGCCGGCTTTTCCAACCGGCTTGCTTCCAATGCTTTAAAACTATTGCTGGAAGTGCACTGATCGTCATTTTGTTCCCAAGAATGGTGCCAGTTTGAGGATGCTAGGTGCAAGCAATGAACTCGGCTTCCTTCGTCGCTTGGGCTGATGCAGATTCTGCCCTGAACCTGTGTCAACGTAACAGGAGAGACTTCCTTGAAGTCAACATAAGTCGGCATTTCTTTTTTCCCTTCTCCCACAGCTGCGTCACGTCCAGGCGCTCGGCGGCTTGGCAAGTCAACTGCGTACGTAAGCTAAGCCAGTCCGTCCCGATCGCCCTCCACTAATGCTTCAAAGGTTCTGTTGTTGTAGGCACTCCCCTTCATCCAAGCCAAGCGCAGCGCCGAGATCGCCGACCCTCGGCTGGACGGCAAGTTCAACCCGGCAAGCGTGCACGCGTTCTGCGCCCTCGGGCTTACCTGCATCCGCAACACGCCCGCAAAGCGGCCCACCATGGCCGAAATCCGGGTCCACCTAGAACGCATCGCCAAGCACGCGCTGTCCCGGGCGGACGAGTCTGAAGCTTCTAGCGACGTAACGCCGTACGATCTTGTCAGCCTGGATTCGTTACCGCCGCCCCCCGGGCCAGGGTCGCCGCTGCCAGAAGCGTGGTTTCGAAGCCAGGGCAGTGGGTCCAGTGAGGGGCCTCCACTCGGGTTCACTGGCGTTGGTAGCACTATCACGAAGTCGTCTACAGGGGTTCACTCTTTTGGGTCCTCCTACGCTCCATCCCAGAAATCTTTAGATCATTCGGCGGCATGGGAGGGACCAATCACCACGTTGCACCCGCGGTAGGATCTGTCACAGCCGAAATACCTTCTCTGGTAGCAAGTAGACTGGCTCTATTTATTTTGGCTTCAGCAAAGAAGTCGTACACGAGAAACAGAGCAACTGGCGGTATCTGCTCGATATCTTGACCTCAGCTTGAAAGCAGTGCTCGGGGTCAGGATTCGGTATGCGAAAATGGTACTGCACCGGGATTTGTTGGAGTCCGTTCCGACGCGGCCACTCACAGAACAATTGTGGACTGGAGGCTAGGCTAGGCTATCATGAAGGTTTTGGAACACCATATGTACGGGCCCATCTTCTTTGTGCTAGAGGGCGTGTGAAGTTCCTACATGCTCTGGCACTGCTGGCGCCTGTTCACAATCGATTTGACAGCATCATGGCGGCAATGAGTAACCCTTGATGGATATTTTATGTCTAAGTGCGTCTATCAAAGGCACATGGGGCGATGCATGCAGGTACATTGGCAATGCATCCGGTATGCCCTAAAACTGCCCATATGAGTAGCTGGAGGTTCGCCAGTGGGATGACTCTTCCTAGAACGTGGTAATCATCATGCAGGATCCTAACTTATATGCTAAGTTGTGCTCAGAAATTTAGTCGAGATGAAACTGCAATCCGGCCCGGCGTGGCCGCCCCACTCTTGAATCAGGACGCTGGAACAGAAGCCAAGCACTAGACACATTGAGTAGTATAAGTCATCATAATTATAAACTTATGATCCTGACGTCCAAGAAAGACACTCGGAGCCTCCACACGTCATGCTCCTATGATGGACCTACTAAGCATAGTCACTACTCAAAGCTGTACACTGCTGCACGTACCATGGCTGCCGTCCGATCACCTCGACGCTTAAGAGTCCAACAAATCAGTTTTTTCTCCAAGCAGGGATTGATTCAAGCACGCCTCGTTTTTACAACGCTCAATGGACGGCGCATCAAAAAACGTGGTGTCAGACGTGTGAAATGCTACCTAGATGTCAACTTCTTCTACAATAAGTGATCACCCCTCCCTCAAGCACTACCTCTTTCAAGCAGACTGATACGGACCTTATCAATGGCCCCTTCTGTCTGCCTCCAAGCAACCACGGACGTCCTCAAAGCTCCATACACTTCCTCCATCGTTCCCCTGCTGATGTACTGGGGAGGTGGTTGGCTCAAGACTGGTTCTGGGTTGAGTAAGCACGGCCAGAAGTTCCTATTGACGCTGCGAGCATTCTCAAACAATGCAGCAAAGTCCCTCTCCAGCTCGTCAATCATCCTCTGAACACTGGCCTCATCTCTGGTGGCAAGGACGGAGCGCAATGGAAGAGCTGGACTGAAGTCGAAGAAGCCCGCAACTCGATCGACCATATCCTCTGGCAGCCTGGCGGTGAGCAGGCGAGAATTGTGCCAGTCTTGAAGACCACGGAGCATTTTGTACTTGAGCAGAGCCATGGCCACCAGGTGGGGCAATGATTGGTGCCTTGATAGGAAGTAGTTGATGGGCTCCAGCGCGTTCGCTCCATTTATGTTCAGGTAGGGCAGATTCAAGTTGCCCCAATCATACCTGCCGTCCGGATCGCAAGTGGCCCACACTTCATAAAATCGTATGCTTCCTGATCTTTGCCCAAGCGTAACATCAGAAACGGCGTCTCGTCCCGTAGACCCAGGTTGTCTGAGCGGCACAACCGGAAGCAATCAAGTTCATGCTCCAGAGCACATTGCAAGGCAGGACGTGTTCCGTAGTTGCAGAGAGCTATAATCAAATCTGAGCGGGCACGCATATAGGCGCGAGTCTCATGGACGCCCCAGAAGTGGCCTACTGCCGAGTCAAACTCGTCAATAGTGCCGTCCAGTCTTGCCATGAGAGAACAGGGGGGCAGCGCTCGCAGTTTCGTTTCCTCAC